TGCAACAATGGCAGACAATTTAGTTTAACATTTGAAAAAACTGTGTTTGTCACTGTCATTAGTATTATTAAATAGTGATTCTGTATTGTTTCTGTTTTAGGCTGTTTGTCGTCAGGGGTAAACCTGAGGATGTGTTCCCTGGGCTCTTTAAGAAGTGGAAAGTATCAAAGTTGACTTATGAGTATGACACAGAACCTTACAGTTTAAGCCGAGACCAAACTGTCACAAAGCTGGCAAAGGAACATGGAGTTGAAGTCATTTACAAAGTCTCACACACCCTCTTTGACATTAACAGGTTTGGGGATTTTTGATTATAGATGTTTCTTGTTGCCCTTAATATAGTTATTAACTTACATCACCATTACAGAATAATTGAGGCAAACAATGGCAAGCCTCCTCTCACCTACAACCGGATGCAAGCTATAGTAAGCGACCTTGGTTCACCCAAAAAACCCATTCCTGCTCCGACTATGGATGATGTAAAAAGTATGGTAACACTTGCAGAATAAGATCTTCTAAATGTTATGTTAACTCATAACAAGGTATCCCTCTGTCACAGATATGAGTACTCCCTACTCTAAAGACCATGAGGAGGAGTTTGAAGTTCCTAAACTAGATGAGCTGGGTCATGACATCTCATCCATCCCCGAGGAGCTGTTTCCAGGTGGAGAAGTAGAGGCTTTGAAGAGGCTAGATGAACACATGAAAAAAACTGTAATGCACCAGTAGTAAATTGCACAACTGTGATCTAAGTACCCTGTGTGCTCATGTATATTTTTTTGCCTTTAACTAAGCAATGGGTGTGTAATTTTGAAAAACCCCAGACCTCTCCTAACTCCCTAATTCCGAGCACCACCGTCCTCAGTCCCTATGTCACGTTTGGCTGCTTGTCTGCACGCACTTTCTGGTGGAGGTTGGCAGATGTCTATCAAGGGGTAAGTGCATTCACACCATTATTCTGTGCTACATAACTTGACTTGTTGATTTTCCTTTCTTCTTCTTACTTTGTTTCAGAAAAAGCACTCCTCTCCTCCAGTTTCTCTGCATGGTCAATTGCTTTGGAGGGAGTTCTTTTACACAGCCAGTTTAGGGATCCCCAACTTCAACAAGATGAAAGACAACCCTGTATGTACGCAGGTGGACTGGGACAATAATCCGGAATTCCTGGCCGCTTGGAGAGAGGTGGCACTATTATATGTATATTATGCACCTGTAAATCCAAAGTATTGCAACAAGCTTCTCACTTTATCTTTTCAAAGGCTCGGACTGGGTTTCCATTCATTGATGCCATTATGATGCAGCTAAGGACTGAGGGCTGGATTCACCACCTGGCCAGACATGCTGTTGCCTGCTTCCTCACCCGAGGGGACCTTTGGATCAGCTGGGAGGAAGGACAAAAGGTGCAAAACAATGTTTTTACATAATGAAATGGTCTCTAATCAGCAACTGTGAAACATGGAGATAATCTTTATATGTTACAGGTTTTTGAAGAGCTTTTGTTAGATGGAGACTGGGCTTTGAATGCTGGGAACTGGCAGTGGCTCTCAGCAAGCACCTTCTTCCACCAGTTTTTCAGAGTCTACTCCCCCGTGGCATTTGGCAAGAAAACAGACAAAAATGGAGATTATATCAAGTAAGATTAGTGGACAAAATTTACTGCAAAGAATAATTATTTTGCTAATCAATTAATCTGGGGATAATGCTAATCCATTAATTTGTTGTTATATCACAAAATGCCTGTGATTATGTGATTTTTCATCATTTTTACCTTAAAAAAAACTATAGTAAGGTCATGGACAAACAATAAAAACACACATTTTATACTTTTATGGTATAATTTTGACGTAAATATAAATAATTGTTTGCTTACTAAATAAGATGACAATTTTAATAATCAGTTAGTTGCAATTAGTTAATTAACCTGTTTCAGTTTTAGTCAAAACATATACATTTGGTAAATAGTGTTAGTTATCATAATGTTCAATGTGCATTTTGCAGAAAGTACCTGCCTTTATTGAAAAAATTTCCACCTCAGTACATCTACGAGCCATGGAAAGCTCCTCGCAGTGTCCAGCAGGCAGCAGGATGCATTATTGGCAAAGATTATCCAAAGCCTATTGTAGAGCATGAAGTTGTAAGTAAGAAGAATATTCAGAGGATGAAGTTAGCCTATGCCAAAAGATCAGCAGATAAGCCTGAGTCACCCAGCAAAAAACAAGGTTTGTGAAAATCTTTTTTTACTACTTTTATCTTGTTAGAATATTTCTATAATGTTTCTTTTTTTTTTTTCTTCCTTTCCACAGGTGTGAAACGCAAAGCACCATCTGTTGTAGACATGCTGAATAAAAAAGCGAAGCAATAACACAAAGTAACATAATGTATTATAAGAGGTCTTAAAATGTGTGAGGTTTACATCATTTTAAACACATATTTTCTTTTGCACCTTTTGCAGTGTGTTTGTACTTGCTTCTTTTTATATTCTTAGTATTTTAAAATAAATACTGTTTTTGTTGCCTAAAGCCACTAGATGTCACTGTGTCCATGTTGAATTATCAAATATTGTTACATTATCGAACATTGGTAAACGAGTTAATGATGACTAAAAAATAACTAAATAAATAATAATAATGTTAAGGCATTCATTTGTTTGTGTTATTATAGGGCTATACTAGTTGACATCGGCACTTTACTCTTGGTATAGCTACTTTATTTTATGTCTGTGTATTCTGATCACTTCCACACATTCAGTGGAATTTGGATTTACAACATAGTATTTGTTTACACCCTCTGTTTGTTTGGGGAAATGAGAGTAATACAAGTATTGCTGCATTTGTGCATGCGTGCACCGTGCGGGTCACACAGCTGTCTTTGGGGGCTAGCTCTTCTCCTGTTTCTGCTTCCTTGGAGCTGACACTGGTGTGAATATACAGAGGATGATGTCATAACATTATAAGGCTCACAAACACAGGCTGAAATTTTGTGCATCAGAAATCACACTGATGTTTGCTGTTTACCTTTCTGCTCATTCATGAATCTGACAGATTGTGTTTTCTATTTTCAACAGACTAGAAATTGTTCTTCGTTCACAAGTTACTGTTTTACATCTATTACCCACAGCAATAAGGGATAATAAATAGTACTAGCTGATGTTGCTTTAGTGTTCAGTGAAATTATGCCTTGTTTTTTGCAAGTGCAATGCTGTTTATTTCCACCAGTCTTTCACATATTTTGTAAAAGGCTGTTGAACTGAGTAAGAACAGCATGTTCTATCAGCTATTATTTTAACTTAAAGTGTATTTCTCTTAGAATCTGATATCCTTCCTGAGATAGAGCTTAATCTGCCATTTCATTTAAAATCACATATGAAAGACTACGGTTTTGGCTATGGTATTACATTAAACTATAAATGGTAATGGTCATATTATAGACATCTTTTATTTCTGTATTAGATATGGCACCTTAGAGTAAACACACCATAAACAAGAGAAATGAACCACTATTTACCTGTATTAATTAAGTGGTTTATTATTAACACAGCCATCTTCTCAGATAATACTTGGATGACCTTAACTCACTGTCAGCGTAAGGTATAATGCAAATGTTATCTCCACTATTCTGACAAAAAGCAACAGAACTGTGTCCAACAGTTCATATTCAGAGGCGGAAAGGTCACTATTTATTGCTCAATAAATACCACAGTGAAACTAAAGAGCAACCAGAAAAGGTTTTGCTTCATCCATGTCAACACTCATCCCGTGGTTACGCCTTTGATTTTTATTTTTATTTTTTCATCTAGATATTCTGCATCAGCAAATACAGTTTTCTTTTTAATATAAATTGTATTTTGTAAGAAATTTCAATTATGGGTAAAGTGTCCAATTTGTCCAGTTTTTGTATGCAATATCACTAACCCTATTTGCAATATAAACCTTCTGAATATAGCTCTGGGGTACCCCTTCTTGACACACTGCAGGCTTAGAGGATCTACTGTCTAACACAGTGAGCTCAGCCAGTCGCTTGGACTCCATAGTGTTTCCACACACTGTTATGCTTTGATCTTTCTGTAGATCCCTGTCCAGGAAATGAGGTTCACTCTGACGTTTTCCATCTCCAAAGAAGATTGCCAGCCAATAACACAAACAACTCTAAACCAATGATGTAAGTAGATTATGAATCTTGCTTTTACTATGGCGGTATATAAAATTAATCCTATGTTGTGTGCCTGTGTGCATGCAGGCCTGTGTCCAGATAAAAGTCCATGGCTGTTGGCACTCACTGAGGTCTGCCTATATAAGGTGGTACTATTCCTACTGCTTTTCCTCTGGGGTGCTCCAACATAATTGTCAGTCTGATGACAATGTGTACCATAAAGACATGTAATATTAACTTTTCTTTCTGCTGAGATTGTGTTTTAAAAATTACTCTTTTCATTATTAGCATTATTTGTCATTATTTGTTATGTACATTTTATTTATTTATTTTCATGGTAATGTAAGTTTCATAGTATAGCATTTCTGTTTAGTTTTTGGTCACACACACTGCAATTATTTCAAATGTTTTATGTACTTTTTTACTGTACGGTTTTTACTGACCTTTTTTTTTATAATATTCCTTGTTGAGACATACAATAATGGTCCAATGGTAACTTTTGGAAAGTATGATGTGCTCTTGTGCCTATTTGCAGGCCAACTATAAATAGTGCAGCAGCCTACGCATGCTCATGTTTGATTGGAAATTTCATTGCCTTAAGTCAGTGCTCTGGGGTATCTGTCAAAGGAGGGAAGAAAGTTTGGGATGGTAAGTCAATTTGGTCAATTTTACTGATCATAATGGTATAGCATGAGATATACAGACAGCTCTAGTTAAAAGATTGCTTATGGTTATAATTGCATTGTTTAAACTGTAACAAATTATTATCTTTTTTAGGGGTATTGCTTTGGAACATAACTTTTTGTTAAACTGTTGGTATTTTTGGGACGTTTTGTTGGTATTTGATGGAAATGGGTTCACGGAGGACAATGAACCGTTCCCTGTCTGGCAATGGGAGATCCCTAAACGGGACAGAAGTGAGAGGGAGCAGTCGTCCCCCTGGGTGCAGCTATCTCTCCAGTGTGAGGCCAGAGAACAGGTACAAGTAACCACAAAATAACACTAACATACAAACAACCACTTAGTACTTCTTAGTACTTAGTGCTATAACAAAACAAATTTTATCCAAACCTATTATTTGCCAACATATCTTATTTCTTTGTTTGTTACCATGGCCACCAGAGTTTAAATAAAGTGTTGATTAAGAACAGTATGTCAATAATGCAGTCTGGGGCCCACTTCACATCGAGCAATCCACTAATAAAGTGGTAGCAAAGCAAATAATATTTAAGTAGCTATAATTTACCTACAGCAGTTATTGTAAATTCTTTCTTCATTTTTTGTATGATGTATTTTGCCTATAATCTTACACCAAGAAAACCTTCATTTTATATTTACAATATTTGACACCCACACAGTTCTTTTATTAAATTTTGTTGATTAGCATTACTGTGGCTTTATAATTTACATGTGGAGATTATAGAACTTACTGTCTTGTTGTGTTAGCCTAAGTACAGACAACATTCACTGAAGTGCAACAATGTCCTTTTAATGTGCAGTGGCCCAGTGCTGTTATACTAGACATGGAGTAAGTGCACATCACATATATGCACTAATATAATGTGCTGATTAAATGCATGCTCGCATCTATCCTTTCTCATTTCTTCACTCTTCTCTTTTTGTACTGTTTATTAGGATGGAATAAATTATATATAATATATGTGTGTGTGTGTGTGTTTACATATATATATATATATATATATATATATATATATATATATATATATATATATATATATATATATATATATATATATATATATATACACAGTATATACAGTTAATTAATAATTACACTTACACTAACAGAACTATGTTTAATGGAACAGGATATGACTGAATGTCTGCTCCTTGTTTTTGTTTTTTTTTATGTCAGGAGCACTCTGTGCAGTGTCATTGCACAGTTAACAGAAGAGACTCAGCCTTTCTTTGAAGTAACTCTGAAATCCCGGGCTGTCTCTGAGAGCTGCAATGTCAAGTTCACATGTGTCGTCACAGGTAAGGCCATGTTTTAGAGTCTTGTGAAATACACAGAGTAACTCACCCAGTCCATGAATGAGAATTAGTATGACAAGAACCAAGTTATAACCAAGTTTACCTTAAAATCTATAATGTTTGGTTTTCTTTAGGGTACCCTGCACCTCAGATCACCTGGTATAAGGACGACATTCAGTTAGACAGATACTGTGGTCTACCAAAATATGAAATATTCCGCAATGGTCAGAATCATTCCCTGCACATATACAAGTAAGTGAATGTTAGAATATCATCACCATACCCAGTAAATTGCTTTTGATTATCTAAAAATTTTCATATAAAAATTACTATATTTTTGTTCCAGCTGCACTGAAGAGGATGCAGCAATATACCAGGCCTCTGCCATTAACACTAAAGGCATTGTATCCTGCTCTGGGGTTCTTGAAGTGGGTGAGATGAATGAGTTTAAGATCCACCAACGTTACTTTTCCAAACTCAAGCAAAAAGCTGAGAATAAACGCAGGGAAGCTGAGGAGAAGGAAAACCAGGAACCAGAGAGGACCATCAGCCCAGACAGAGCTCAGAGGAAACGTCGCTCCACTGTAGGGGGCTACATCAGCGCACCGAGCTCTACAGAGGAGGACACTGGCGAGGCATACCAGCAGGAGACTTCTGCAGAGGTCAAGGCCAAAGTACAGGAGAGCAGTGTGGAGGAGGTCAAAGACACTAATAGAACCATGGAGTCCATAGAGTCTCATTTATTGAATGGTCAGGACTCCAAAGAGAACACACCCTCACCAGGGATACACATAACCGACTCTGCTCAGAAGATGTTTACTGCACAACCCAAAACTCTTTTTGGAAAGAAACTGAAAATTTCTAACCCAGCTAAAGCTGATCCTGAGGAGACAAATGGGCATGAAAAGGAGGTGAAAGCCTCTTTGGCTGGTTCAGAGTTACCCAAATCTCCAAAAAAGACAAAACATTTGATGGATGTGGAAAATAGTGCTACTTCAACCTCTGTGCTTCCTTCTTTTAAATCTTTGAAAAGACGTGTAACAAGTATTGGTGGCAAACAAGGCTTAAGTCAGGAAAAGGTTGATCATAAAACACCTAAAGAAAATGTAAAAGTACAGAATGGAAGTCCCTCCAATAACCCCTCTCCTATGGTACCTCCCAGAGCTTCAAAACTCCAGCTGCCTCAGCCAACAATAAAACAGGATAACAGTACAACACCTAAGGTCATAGACAGGGATAAGAAGGCACAGGGTTTGTCCCCTGATATGACTCCCCACACAGACACATCATGTGACAGTGGGACTGCTCTGCCTCAGCCTCCATGTCAGCAGGTCAGACAAGAGCCGGCCCAAAGGGAAACAAGACCTGACCAAAAAAGAGGGCGCATGCCCACACCAGTGCAGAAGAGAGAGGTGAGGCAGTCTGTTACGCATGAGCTCATAAGAGCTTTGTGTTGCCAACACTGGCCTCATCACTAACCCATGCTTTGCTGCTATTTTTAGACCGAAAGTATTTGCTGGCTGTTCTGGGTGGTGAGAAATAAATGACGCATATGTGGACAGATGAGATAGGCATCTTTCTAAGAAAAAAAATCTAGTTATTTAAGAAACAAAGATTAATTTATATTTATGAATGGAATTAAAATTTTGTTATACTAATCCTAAAATGCTTGTTTTTTTGGCACAGTTTAACAACATAAACTTTTTCTTCCATAATAATATATAAATATAATCCAAACAATATTATAGACTGTTTTTCTGCTGTTTGTGAGGAAGCTGTTTTGTTTAACCATGCTAGCATACTTTAGGATTAAGCATCAGGTATTTACAGCCAGGCCCTAACAGTGTGCTCTGTCTCCTCCACAAGGCTACACAGGCCCAAGCAAAGACACAGAGGAATGAGGCACCTGTTGACCTTGAGCTGAAGCCCAAGCTCCACACAACAGTGGAAGCGGAGACGCCCCCCTCTGAGACGACAGAACAGGACAGGCGTGGTTTGTCTTTGCACTCTGGTCTTCACAAGGCCATGGACAACATGAGCCAGGACACACAGGATCATTCCAGGGGATCAGGTGAAATCTGTGTGGGCCTTTTAGCAGACACACAGAAGCCACCACTCAAAAGCTCTACTACCGCTGAGAACAAGTCCAAGTGTAATGTTCCTCCCGGTGTACAGCAAAGCCAACCTAATATGCCCATAAAAACAACTGAAGGGACTGATATACAACTTCATGAGAAGGTAAAAGGGCAGGAGACTAATTCATTAACATCACCGTCGACCGGTGGGGCTCAAAGTGAAGAGGATAAAATGAGTTCTGCTGAAAAAGCCAGAAATATTGATGAAATGGCAGTGAACCTATCACAAGAAGAAAAAGAATGTAAAGGTTCAGTAAAATCTCTACAAGTGTCATCAAGAGGACATAGTCTGTTGCAGCCAGAAGAAAATACACAGATTACAAATAAAACAGACATGTTTTTGGAGTCAGAGCCAAAAGACCTTCAAAAATGTTCATCACCCATTCCAAATATAATATCTATTGCTGAACTCCTGAGGTCACAAATAAATGCTCTTGAGGAGTCGATTTCCTCACGAATAGCCCAAGTAGACAATAGAGAATGTCCCACTGGGAGGGGAGTGGGTAGTGAAAGCAACACCACCAACATAAACAAAGACGTGCTTATTGATAAGAGCCCACCTCAAACCATTAAGGAGACACTAATGCAAATTTACAATGAGTTGATCAAAACTAAGGAACTCTTTGTGGAAGAAGCTCCAGTTTTATCAAACTGTACACAGCCTCTTGAGTCTGTAGAAATCCCTTCTTCAGTTACACCAGAAAAAACTATATATAGTGAGATAAATGAACACAAAGCAACCAACTGCCTGTCTGAAACAGGGTTACCTCTGAAGGACAGAGAAGAGGAGCCTCCCAATGATGAATCTGTGCACGACACTGATACACAGGCAGTGACCAAACAACCTCCTGTATTGAAGCTGGATTGTGTTCCGGTTGTAGAGGTTAGAGAAATGTTTGCAGCACCACTCACTTATAATAGCAATATGGACGAACCTAAATCAAACACAAGTAGTTTGGAGAATGTTCAAGAGCTTCCTGTTCCAAGTGCTTCGGACAGTGTAGGTATCTTACAAAAGAACAATAATCTCACTGAAGACACTGAAAAGGCGGTTATCTTGCCTCATCTTATTCTTGACATTAGTCCAATGTTAGAGAAAAGAGATTGTGATTCTATTCCTTCTGCAACTCCACAAGAACTTGCATCTGGAGCCAGACGCAAAATCCCCACACATAAAACCAAACTGGAGGAAGTGGAACCCCCTACTGCCAACAATGACTTCAATCCTGTAAGTGTTTCTACTTCTCCACGACTTTGTCGACATTCAGCACTGCTTCAGCCCAATGTAGAACCTGCATCACCCAAGAAAAAACGCTCCCCACTCCTGAGTAGAAAGAAGTCACCTGTTGAGATCCAAAGTCCACAAACCCCCGAGCCTCCAGATATTAAATCTGAGGAGTGCCCTGCAAACAAGAACAAGAATGATCCCTACAGAGGTAAAAAAAAAACAACTGATTTGTTTTCACATAAATTTATGTACACTATATTTGAACATTTGCATAAATCACAAAATATCATCTTTGCTGATTGTTATAGCGCCACAAGTCATTCGAAAAATTAGGGGGGAAACTTTTGCTGACCACTCAGGAAACATGAAACTGTGGTGCCAGTTCTTCAATGTCCTCAGTGAATCTACTGTTACATGGTATAGAGATGAACTGGTAATAGCTAAAATGTTAAAAAGGTACAACATATTTATGTTAAATCATGTTACCTCTAAAGATATCTGTAGCATATAAATTGTTATCTCCCAGTGCAGGGGATGAAACAAAAGTCAATCTTGCTCTTGCCCAAGCCACATCCCTCGACACTGGTGTTTATGGATGCACAATTACAAATGAATATGGGACAGACTCAACAGATTTTCTGCTCAGTGCTGAGGGTATGTATTCTTTTACTCCTGCCTTTTTCATTTTATTTATTTATTTAAACTTTGTTTTGACTGTGTTGTAGTTTTGAGTGGAATGTCTCTGCAAGAAGATCTTGGTGGTAAGATTCTACATTTTTTATTCTGTATATTTTGTGTCTTCTAATTTATACATGTTTTGAATTGATGTTTACAGTTGGAGAGGAAATTGAACTAACGCCTCTAATATTCAACAAAGGAGTGGCTGATTCTTGTGTGTGGGGGAACAAATTATTTGGCCGCATAATGGTGCAAGAAAGTCGTCTTGGTGGAGGATTTTCCCATAAAACCTGGAGGGCCAAAGTCATTTATGGTCTTGAGCCTGTGTTTGAGTCTGGTAACTTGTGCATTATTAAAGTATGCAATCCCATTGTATATGGAGGTAAAGGGGAAGGTCTGCTGATAGAAAAGAATCAAGAAGGTGTTCAACAGGTGAGCTGCTATTACTGTCGTGATTAAAACTATATTACTGTAGGTTAGGCTCATAAGATTTTTGCTTACCTATGAAGCTATTAACAGTGCATGCTATACAAAAGGATTTCTTTGTGTCTGCTTGTTCTTTGTGTCCTGTGTGTACTTTCAAACCAATTAGTATATATAGTCTATGAGAGTACCAGACCTTCTATGTAAATAACAACAAGAAAGCTAACCATGCCACTTATTGTTTGTATGGTTTCTGCTTAAAGGTGTGTAAAATTCAAAACCTTGTTCGAGAATACTGCAAGATTTTCTCTGCAGAGGCAAGAGCAATAGAAAGTTTTGGCTCCTCCCTTGAGTAAGTAATACAACAACATTTCCCAAAACATACATATTCATGCTTTCTAATAATATGAACACTTTTGCCACACAGAGTGATCCCAGTTTACCTGATGTATCGACCAGCCAACAGCATACCATACTGCACAGTGGAGACTGATCTGAAGGGGGAGTATAGCAGATACTGTGGAATGGATCACACAGGAAGGTTAGATATGAGGAGTGGATCGGAGGTGGAGCAGAAGTGTTGTGCACTGCTGCACTGGATCTTTCAGTGGACCAGCGGAAACATGCTTTTCACCAAGTTAGAAGGTATAATAGCGCCTGAAAGACATACAATATTGGCATTATTAACACAAAGGAAGAGGGAAAAATAAACAAATGTGGTGTGGTTTGGCATGTTTACATTATAAACAGATTTTTCATTCACTGCCCTATAACTTTATATTTGAGTTTGTGTTTATGAGTTATGAGTATAAAAACAATTTACGATTTTGTGCCAGAAATCTCATTACAGCTGTAGCGTCGCCCCTGTATTCAAAACTAATTCAGTGCATGTTGGACTGATCTAAACCTTGTTTTTTGTTCTTTGCAGGTGTTGACTTTAAGATCACAAATGTTGGAATTTCTGTCAAATCTCACGGGTCAGTGGTCTTGTTTTGAAACCAAAACTCATTTGTTTTGCAATTTGCATTTAAATCCATTTGCTAACATTTCTGTGATTTTTGCATGTTACTACAGGCACCAAGGTCTCCCTCTTGAGGGAAATCCAAAAGTATTTGAACAGTTTGTTACCCAGCATCAGTGTAATTATTTCTGTGGCTTGCTGGGTCTACGATCACTAAAGGTTATTGAGTCACTATTGATGCCTACTAAACCTAAAGGCTCCAAAAGTCCATTGGTTCAACGTAAAATGGGCACTGGCTCTTCAAGCCCTCAGGCTGGACGGAAGACATCTGCTAGCCCCAGGATACCTAAGAAGATCCAGCAAGATGGCCAAAGAACTCCCTCTGAACAAAAACTTGCAGATGAATCCATGCCAAGAATAAGCTGAGTATTAGTCATTCAAACTGTGATGTCTCTATGTATCAGTTCATAGAATAACTGAAAGTAGCAACAAACATCTATAGAAATATTTCTAACTAGTCAAGTAATTCTAGTTATCATCTTACATTTTGCTTTGTCAGGCATCATTCCTATGCATCAGCTCTTATAAATGTAGGTTACTAGGCTGATACAAAACTGATTCACAGTCTGCAGTAAGTACAGTTGCAGAGTTACAGATGACAAATGATTTAAGTTCATAGGATCATCATCATCAAGATATCACTCAAGCCAAATGTAGCAACATTGGTGTTTGTCCACTTGCTAATATGATCTTTTCTAGTGGGTCTCTGGGTCATGATTATGTGTTTGAAAGCACCTTTAAATAAATTCTTTTCAAAATAATTATCTGGTGCTGTGTTCATCACATGTCAGCTTGGAAGTACAGACATATTTTGATATAATTCCACTGTGCCTTTACTAATAGATATTAGCATATTATGGGATGAAGTAGATTAACTATCATCCTTCTCACACTCCATTAGACTATTCATTTCTGCTCCTTGGTGTTTTCACCCATTCCTCTGCAATATGATAACCACTTTACTCTTAAACAAATGATGTACTGGTGATTCTAAAGTAACCCTAGTGAAAAGTAAATGGTTGTAATATGGCCCACAGCTGAGTAAAACTACATTCATCTTCAGTGCCTAAAAGCAAAAACAACCCCTTAATACTCATTATCACTTGTCGCATTTTTTTTACAGAGGTCAGAATGAAGTGTTGCCAGCGACCAGTGTTTACATTGTGAAAGGCTAATTTCATCAAGATAATTCTTTGTGATTCCCCCTCATTATGACTCATCTTTTATGTAATATCTGGACTTTAAAGCACTAACAAACAGAAGGCTTTAAGTTCATACATTGCCACCTTTTCTGCTCAAATCTAACTTTGCAACTGAAATGTGCATTCAACAACTGAAGTCCATTCCAAACACAACCTCTGTTCAGTCATTAATATGTAGTATTTAAATGTTATTATATTTATTATATTATATATTAAAACAGTATGGGCTGTAATGACGCCAGAGAGAGAGAGAGAGAGAGAGAAATGGGGGCAGTCATAAAACAAATCACTTCTGCCACCTACTGTCTGTTGGTTTTTAGATTGTTTTGATGAGGGCATAAAGACTCACAAGTTTTTGGCAATTTTTTGATAACAAAACATTTTCAATCAAGGCAGTACAACATGGGAACAATTACAGTTTACAAAATGTATAGCATCTTAATTCCCAATAAAATGTACTGTATGTGTGAGGAAAATTGTACTTTGAATATTGTTTGACTGAATGGAACAATGACGCATGTATGAGCTAAGACAAAAAAATGGAGAGAAATTATGCATTGGCACAGCTCTTCTTTCTGTAGTGCTTAGCTCTGATGGGATGACATGAAAACCACAGAATCATGGCAATATTGCCAGCATTAATACTCCTGATCAAAGTAAATGAGTGAATTCTCAGTCTTTCACTGTACATTTGGAGCTGATTAATGATTAATGAACTGTTATATTATTATTATTATTATAAAAAAAAAAAAAAAAACTCTCTCTTAACATGCTGCAGCTGCATTGCTTTCACAATGACCTCTGTGAAACAGACAGATTTTGACTATAGTTGTCAAAAGTATGGTCATCTAGTTACTTATCCATAACAAAAGTAGTAGAAACAAGATACTGTACATTTGAAGTAGATCACATAGTCAAAACTGGACCTTTCCTGAACAGTAGTATATATACAATTATAATACAATTTAATTTTGTGTTGTTAATTACATAGCAAGTTTGAACTTACTTACTTACTACCTTGACAACATAGCAGTGTTTAGTACCATATCTTTCTAGTTTTACTACTTTGTTGTCAAAAAGTCATAAGATGACATTGGATGAAGTTCTTTTAAAAAAAGAAAAATAGGCAAGTTAAGCACCTCCCCCATGGCTGCCTATAACATCACATTGTTGTGCGTCTGTCTGACCTCTATTAGCATTAGCACGCAAGGCTGCCATGTTCATTTAGGCAGATTATGTGAAAAGGATCACACACCCCTAAATGCCACAGACTATTTGACATTTGAAAAAAACTTTTATCTCTGGTGAACCAAAAGTCGCAGGCTGGCTGTGCTCATGGTGCCATGGTTAACTTGTCAGTCAGTACAGAGTTTTTAAACGCCCACTGCAAGCTTTTTTTTTCTAATTTCTAAGGATCTTATAAGATGAGTGCCACGAATTCTATTGTGTGAGGCACTATGCATACAGCCTGTTTGGGATTTTCATTCAATTTTTCCTATCCTAAATCCATCCTAAAATTTCATATCCCTTTTTGAGACAGGTTCCTTTTTTGATTTTCATGGCATATTCTTACATTCGCTTTTTTTGTTTTATGGAACAAAAACAGGTAGAATTTTTTATATCAAATAGCTTACTGTATTTATTCACCAGTTACTTATGATGGCTTTTTGTTATTACAGAATTAGATTTACCTGTTGATTCTTCTCACATGTTCATTTTCACCTGTGTAAGGTTGCCATCGACTATATGTAATCCTTGCCATTTTTGCATGTTGTGATTGTAACTGAAGACCAGGTCTAGGAAGACACACCCAATAGTGTGATGTAGGCCTGTGCCACGAGCCACTGGACAACTGTCAAAACACCGGTGCTAAACTAAAGGAGCATCAGCTCTGATTGATGCTGAAATAAAACTCAAATCAAATGCACATGCAAATGAACCAGAGCACACAGCTGATGCTCATGTAGACTGGCACACTTAAATTTCATTTTTGTATTCTCCATATAAGAAAAGACATTGCTACGGAGTTATTTACTAAACGTTGTTTAGTAAATAACTTTACTCTTTTACTATGGAGTTACCTGGACAGAGTTGGAGGATTATGGAAAACTTTACGCAGACTTGTTTGGCTACATCTTTACACACTCCACTCTGGATATATACACCAAATTTGGGAATTTTTTACTGGGACCAAGGAGGAGGAGAGTGGCGGAGTTTGGTTCATGTTATCAATTTGGCTTCAACTTTACGAGGACACAGCAGATTGTGACTGATATGGATTTACTATTTCTTTGATTTTGAGACACTGTAAAAGCCCTGGACCGGAGACTGGGTGTGTTTTCTGGTGGATATAAGTTTCTTCAGGTCTTGTGAGCATATGCACAATTGTTAAATAACAGTTACATAGTTCACACTATTTAAGTATTGCCACACGTGCGTTGCTATTGGCATGCTGCTGCTGATCCTCCAATGACTGCGCGGGGGCGTGTATAGCTCCGCCCTCCGCCAGCTGGTCCCAGGTCCCAAGATCCAGACTGTTTTGAAACCTCTAAACAGTACAGATCGAAACGAGGCTATATTAAGCAAAATTGCAGCTTATGAGCTTTAAACCATACTAGAATGTTGTTACCTCCTCCAAAAACATACCCGTAGTTGTGTTTGTTTCATTCAGACAGGTTTGAGTAATCCTTTATTATTAGTCTGTCTACATCTCCAAACCTCAAAATGCTCTGTTTCACCTTGTGATGTCATGAAATGGCAGTTTTCAAATTAACAGCTACTTTTTACTTTCAGTCCAGTAGAGATCGCAAATTCCAGGTCTGAAATCATCCAAATGTGTCTAGTGAAGGTATATGGAGTTTAAAAACACAGTGGAACACTTTCTGTATTGGCACATAATATCACAAGGTGAAACAGAGTGCTTTCTGTTAGAGAAAAGAACATGAGTAAATGAAACACAAAAACAACTCCAGGTATGATTTTGATAAGGAAATTATTACATAGATCAGAAAAAAATGTAATATGGGCCCTTTAATGTAGGCCTATACACTTATTCTGCTTTGATTAAGCCATTGGATTAAATTGAACATTGTTGTACATTGTTTGAATCACACAATGAGTTGCCATTTCACAAACTACAGACTTTTTTTTTGAAGAAAACAGTGTGTGGCATCGTGGGGGAACACAATACACAATCAAGAAAATCACATGTGGTGAAATAAAAGGTGAGAATGGAAAGGCGTGGTCAAGTGCAATGACTCATTTAAGTGAATAAAAACTTTTTCTTTCACCCTAGATTTATAACTGTGTTGCTAGGGCGAGCTCTGTGTTTACATTTAAATCATGAATCAAACATTTCCTCAGGAAATTAAATGGGTTTTCTGTTTTGCCTAATTAGGCTCCCGATGAGGCATGTTTTTGTGTGGTCTCTGGTCAATAGGCTGTAATGAAAAAGATAGTGTAGCCTAGACTTGATAGTTTTAATTGAAATTGTGGAAAAGTAAATTTCAGTCACATAGACCTGTGTCTATTGTTTGTAAAATAATATTTACGTTTACTGTAGCCTGGCTGTCTGTGTGGGCTATGATAATAAGTTTATTGTGCTTTTATTGGTGAGTATCTCATAATAATTTGATCACTGGACTTCCAGATAACAAATATTTAAAGTGCAGTTAATCGTTTAATAAGAAGGTTGTAAGCTCAGACCTAAAATTTGTAGTGTAAGCCAACTGAGTTTTGATTGTGTTGCATTTAATTTCTTTCCAGAGTTAGACTGTCTACATGATGCACGATGTCGACTGACACCAGAAATGGCACTTTTAATAAATTCTGACTAATGTGTAAATAAAATATGCACTGTACGACACATTCTGGTTTCAGTTATGGAAAGCTGCAGCTTGCGCGTATCCTGGACTGACACCTCAACCCTGTGAGCAAAGTGGGCGGGACTTCCGATGCCGCGCACCAGGAAGTCACGGATGCGAGAAAATACTGGTAGATCGTGCATCCATATGGTCATTTCATTGAATAATTTTAATGTGATTTAAGTCCATTTTCCACACAGTATTTTTTTTCAAAATGCTATCTTTAGATTTTCTCGACGATGTCCGTCGCATGAATAAACGGCAGGTAGGTTGCTATGGCGTGTATTAACCTCTTTGTGTAAGCCCAGAGCTAATGTACACTAGCTACAAACGCACTTACCGTTTAACTCTTATTTACAATTACAATTCCGTTTACTCTATATAGTGAGCTTTGGATATTGTGTAAATACAATTATACACAGGTAGCTTTTCAATATGTTTTATTATTTTCACGTTATAGCTGGTTATTAGATAACATTTATTGCTAACTTTTTTGGGTTTGTGTGCAGCTCTATTACCAGGTGCTCAACTTTGGTATGATTGTTTCCTCTGCATTGATGATCTGGAAGGGTTTAATGGTTGTCACGGGAAGCGAAAGTCCAATAGTAGTTGTTCTCAGGTAAGTCCCATTCTCTGTTGGAATGATTTTAAAGTAGAACATAATTTTCTGGTGCAATAACATAAAATAACAAAATAAATATTGCTGGAAATGTTTTACCACTTTCAATCAATTCACAGACCAATTACATAATCCGATAGTTTTAAAACTCCTAGTGTCTGCAGTCTTGAATTTGCAGTTATCTCTCTCCACTTCCTTATGTGGTTTACAATTTGTATATTTCCTGTTTAAGTTATTCAAGCGTTTTGCACACCTTAGCGATGGTAATTCTCAGTTTACAACCTAAACTATTGTATAAAATATGTTCAAGTTATTCACCCCTGCTTCCTGCATACATAAAGCCACAGTTGCATGCAGATTCTTCTTCAAGTCTTCTCTACTGGTGCACATCAGAGTGAAGCAGAATAAATTAAGATCTAAATAATGGCTGCCAGCTTCAAAGTAAAGAAGCATATTAGTTCAAGTATTAATGCTGAAATAGAGACCAAATGTGCAAGATTAGATGTGTTTAATACAAAACAAGGTAGGTTTGGGTGATAACCCAAAAAATACACATATTTTATCATAATGTGTGCCACCATCAAGGGGTAACTAGTCATCTGCTGCTTCCTAGAGTTCACACTTCACTGTGAATAGTTAAATTCACTGATTACTCACTCAGGCTGACCAATAGAGGAATGGCAATCTCACCAAAATTGCAATCCAGTGTTATTTATTTAGTATAATATGGATGTTCTATTTGATGGTAACACTCCTGAATATGTTTCAGGGTAATTTTAATAGAATAATGTCCCCAAAATTTTTAAGCCTGCATTTTACATATTAAAACCAATATATTTTATTTGATTACAGTGGTAGTATGGAACCTGCTTTCCACAGAGGAGACCTACTTTTCTTGACGAACCGTGTAGAGGACCCCATCAGAGTTGGAGAAATTGTCGTGTTCAGGATAGAGGGGAGAGAGATTCCAATTGTACATAGGGTACTGAAGATCCATGAAAAGTATGACATCTTTCTGTTTTGATTTTGTACTTGTGCAGTGATTACTTGTTTAAGGCTTTTTGATGCTGAATGGTGATGATCCATAATGATGATTAATTATGATCTTGATGAATATTATTGTGTTTTATAGGGAAAACGGAGACATTAAGTTTTTGACTAAAGGAGACAACAATGCTGTTGATGACAGAGGGTTGTATAAGCAGGGCCAACACTGGTTGGAGAAAAAAGATGTGGTTGGGCGAGCCAGGGGGTAAGTCCTTGTGCAGGTACTTGATATGAAATGTACTAGCTAAGACCTCAGAGAACGGTGTACAATAGAGTATTAAATAGAATGTAGAGGGTTTATGGTTCTTGGGCATCTTCTGAGGATATGAGGCTATTGACCATCATCCTTTGAATGTGTTACAAGAGGTAAAGTGCAAGGCTGGTAGGAATGAACTAAGAGAATATCTTGACAAAGTTGAGTTTGCTTATTTGAGGTCTTGAATAATAACTACCTAAACCTGAAGGAGACACAATAGTTAAGAGCTTGAAGAAGTAAAAAGAAGACTGGACTGGAGGCTCTAGAGCCTATGCTGTGTGCAAGAGGAATGTAGCGAAGAGAAACATATCTTTTGGCATAAGCATTGTGCATTTTTTGTTT